GGTATATTTGTAGCAATAGCCAAAAATACATTGTTTGGGTCAAAATTATAGATTTTTCTTTTATGCCAAAAATCATTAGGATATTAAGTAAAGATATTTTGTAAATTTTCTATCGTAAATATATAAAAAATGTATTATCATTAGTAATATGCATTGCAATGGACTTCATTTGGACAACTTTAAAGGTGATTTTCTCAGTATTTAGATTTTTTTGCACCCTCAGATTCCAGATTTTCAAATAGTTGTATCTTGGCCAAATATTGTCCTATCCTAACAAAGCATACGTCAATGGAAAGCTTATTTATCAGCTTTCATGAAATGTATAAATCTCAATTTCGAAAAATGGACCCTTATGACTGGTTTTGTGGTTAGGGTTAGGTTAGGTATGATATTACGCAGCGCCTGAAAATAGTCCCCAGCGTTTGTGTAGTTGGTTATGTTGATGGAAGTTAGCCTATTTACAGGCGCTGCGTAATATCATTGCACCTGCTGCACCCATGGTATGGCAGCAAAGTTCCTTGATTATTACGCCGGAATGAGAGTATAGTTCCTAGCCATATCGGCCTAGAAAATCGCAACTTTTCATTTTCCGTCGGTCTTAGTACACGATATAACTACAGAAGAGTCAAGTTTTAAATAGAAAAAATATAGAAACTCTTTGGTCATTTTTGAGCAAGATGCTAACGGTCTAATCAGATTCAATGATCTATGCTAAGCTACAGCTAAAAGTGCTACCGCCACACCCGGAGATTGGCTGAATGGATTAGAAAACGTTTAACTCTAGGGGAGTTGGAAAATGAGCCTATTTTCAAAAATAGTGGAGTGTTCCTTTAAGGTCCAGGGTCACATTTCTTATTCAATCTGTCCATAAATGAAAGACAAGAGGGTATGATCTAATTAATTATGTCATGCAATGTTAATTACTTGCTGCTAGGAAGTAATCCAACAAGAGTAGTTCCTATCACCAACCAACTCAATCCGATAACAGCCAACGTGATCCTATGACAGAGCAATAACATGATTAAATGACATGAAAAAAACATGATTGACATCCCGTGGTAACTAGGATTTACACAAGCTTCAGTCTGGATCCAGAACACCTGAGAAGAGATGATGCCAACCCCTCAGAGGACCTCAGATGATGCCAACCCTGAAACAACATACAGAACTACCACATTTTGCTATAAGTTTGATTGCATCATATAATAATTGCTGTTAATAGTGTTCATCGTCTGTTTGATTACATCTTTAATTGATTTTTCCGTACATTTCTGCCATATGTACATTGACTGACAGTCACCACTGATAAGCTACCACTAAATATTGTAGAAACTTAATTTGCTGTAAAGTTGCTTTGCAATGATTTGTATCGTGAAAAGCGCTGTACAAATAAACTTGAATTGAACTTGAAAAAATTGAACATTTCTAGATCACAATAATGAGATTTGTAATATGTAATAAAATAAAATTCAAATTCAAAATGCTGAAATATTATTACAATGTAAAATAGATGTTTTCTATTATGTTGGAAATAGTTGTGCTGCTTAATATTTTGTGGAAACCATGATACATTATTTTCAGTTGTTTAATATGATTATACGTTTAAAAGAATAGCATTTGTAATGTAAAAAACCAATGTAAGAATGTTCACCGTTTAATGCATCCTTGATGACTTAATGTCACTTGATAAATGAAATATCACTCTAGTCTCACCTGAGAGGCAACAAGATACAGTAACGTATAAAAACTCCCAGGCCCCATATGATGGTGAGCCGCACACTGATATAACGAAAGTTGCTGTTGGTTCTCGTGAGGAGGTTCCAAGAAGCCAGTTCCTCCGACGTGAAGCGCTGAGTCACCTGATCCTCAACAATGTTCTCAATGCCTTTCTTACAGAAATAGAAGGCATCACACAGTGTAAAGTCTCCCCCCGCCAGATTTTTAGGATGGGATCGTCGCAGCTCTCCGATTTCCTCCTCCATAGAGCCATCATCTTTCTCGATGATCCCTGAGAACACATTATGAATTTGAAATGAGACCAGATAGAGAAGGAGAAAACTACACCATGCCTGTGGAGCACCACTGTTTGACACAGTTGCCTCCATTTATATTAACTGATTTGTTTTGTTTTTTTGTCTGCATATAATAATGTAAGCATGATTTCATTTGTGTCCTGAGTTCCGGATTTAAGCAAAAAATGCCCTGTCTGAAGCCGGGTAAAGTTCATAAATAAGATCAACTGAAATTATGAAATCCACCACTTGCTGCAATACCAATTACAGTATGTTCAATAGACTGACCATGACTGACAGGCAGCAGGCCAGCAGCATTTTAAACATTATTTTCTTACTGGAAAGAGTTGTGTCAACTAAAACGGGAAACTTGTGAGATTTGTTATCATATAAATTGACTGCATAAATGCTAGAAAGGAAAACATAAAACAGCAAACAAAGGCAGCAAATTAAAGCAAACTTTTTCATTACTGTCTAATATGCAGCATCAGTAATTCTAAAGAGGAAGCGGTGGCTTCACATGACGTTATCTTGAAACCAAACACTCGAGTTTTATTCACATGATGTCTTGCACTTACAAATACTTTTGCATTGACAGACATGCTCATTTCACTCACCACTGGCTGACTGTAATGGCAGTGTTGGCTGTTCCTTCTGTCCTCTTTGGATCCTGAGAGTCGCCCACTGCCACAGAATGCAAGTTTATTTTCAGGAAATCATTGACACAGTGCTTCCTACATACAGACACTTAAACTGTCATGTACAAATCAAATATCAATATGTCCTCTTCTAAATTAAATACTAGAAACTAAACTCCTGACAATTACATTTTAGTTTCATGCCTTTTGACCATCTTTTGCAAGTTTGTCTTGGCATCATCAACTTCTGTCAGGTTTAGGTAAAGGAAAACACGTTTTCTATGTTTGCATTTACAATTATTTTATATATGATCAGATATGGAAAGACATTAATGGTCATATCTCTTCAAAAATTAGACATGATTTAGAGCTATTACCTCCAGTGTCTTAACCAGCACCTTGATGTAGATATCTGTGAAGCCCAGGGACACACCAAACATAGCAGGTAACACGATGAGCCCCACTACTATGGACAGCCACACCTGGAAGAGCAGGAATGCAATGTCCCAAGCACCTTCCATCTCTCTGCTGTCCTTCCTGCCAGTCTATGGGACAGGGCTCTGAGCTCGGGCCATCTGCTCAAGCGGGTGAAGGTAAAAGCCAAAACAGAAGTGGTGCGTGTTTAAAATGTCGTAATCAGTGTGTTAGTACTGCCGCTGGGGAAATGTTTTCATGTGGTTGGTGGCCTGTTTCTGTATTACTGTACAGCATCTGACCTGTTTATTGCTGAGTTCACCTTAACAAATAACACTGTAAACATTTTTAAAAATCTGTTAGCCTAATTGATAGCCTAAATTATGATTTTACTTAACACAAATATGAAATCAAACAGCTTATCTGAATATTTTTGTCATTTTATTTTATATCATTTTCTTGTTTTTATTATAATGACGTCTAATAGATCTACAAGTTTAGTATTCTATTGGTAGAATAGCTGAATAGCTGCTGGTATTTTTATTTTATTTTATGATATTTGTGGCTATAGCTGTAGGAATTTATATTTTATTTATTTTATATGACATTGTGGATAGCTGTAGTAATTATTATGGTATTTTATGATATGATATGATATATTTGTGGCTACAGCTGTTGGAATTTATATTTTATTTATTTTATATGACATTTGTGAATAGCTGTAGTAATTATTATGGTATTTTATGATATGATATTAGCTGTAGTAGCCTAACTTATTTAGGCGGAAAATGTAAGGGTCTCCGTAATGTTTTAAGTAGAAGACACTCTTCCTTAAAGCTAATCAGAAATGCATATTATCTAAATACAATTCTACTAGATGATTTTAGCGAACTATAATGTTACCTATAAAATAATTATCCAAAACTTTTAGGGCTTGAGTTGTCCGTCTCCTTTCCGTTATCACTCAGAAACCGCTGTGCCCATAAGAGCGTAACACACAAGAGTATCACATGAGCAGTAAAACAACAACAACCTAACAAAGATTAAGATTCAGTGTAACACCTTCACAATACCTCGATAACATTCATATCTTCATTACAGACGTCTGAAGTCGATGTTACATATACTGTATATCTCAAATCCTGAAGCTATGTCCGAACAAGCTTTCGTGTGACTGGTTACAAAGTTCGGACACATATGGCTCTACATGATGCACTAGCGCCACCCTGTGTCACGTTATGATAATCGTTATCATAAACGCGCTATATCTGATGAAAATGTATCGCTAAACGATGTTAAACTATAACACATAAAATATTTGGAAAACATAAAAGAAACACACACACACACACATCTATATGTAACGTTATATAAATCAGCCTTCTAGCTTAGTGTGAAGTAGCCTATGATATGACAGTGAAGAAATTTTGCAAGCATGAAATCCCAGCGATGCAATTTTGCAATGTTTGTCCTAAATTCCCCTCAAAATAAAAGTATGCTTTAAAACCACAAGTAGTTTCCCGAAAACTAAAACGTCTATGGTCTATGCTGATTCTAATGTAGAACTCGTAAATTCCTCCGCACCACATGGTGGCAGCATGAGCAACTCTTTAGCTGTAAACTGCCGTCTCTTATGCTGAGAGTAAGTAAACGAAACCTACAAGCGCAGAAAGTTTATACATGTAGCATAGAAACTATAACTTAAAACTATGACGTTGCGATAGTTAACACACGGTTTAGTCCAAAAGCATGGAGGAATTCAACACAACCGTCCGTATATCGGGTTTCGTGTTGAGTTCACTGATGTTTCATCATTTGAACAGTGATGCGGATGTGGTAAGTGACAAAAGATCCCAATGTGACCTGATCCTTGGCTGTGAAATAAATTGCAAAATACGAAGTCAAATATGTATGCTAAGCACTTCCTCAGTCCCATAACTTCTGTTTACATCTGCTCTATGTTAAAAGGAAGGTCTTATTCTTGGAGAAAGTGTGGGAGAGGAGAACTGTAGGATCACAGACTCACAAATTGATCACATACAGTTTGAGCACACTATAAGTAAGTTGACTCTAATTATTTCATATTTTCATATAATAGTCAAAATCCAAAACCTAAAGTGTGCCGAGAAGGAATATATATCATATGATCAATGACAACAAATATACCATAACAACAAAACAGTAGTGTCATGATGTTTTCTCTTTTTCAGATATTCAGAAACACATCCCTTGTCATAATCTCCATAGGTAAGTCAATTGTTCAGTATTTTTTTCCCCATAAACCTCTTTTTATATAAAGCAGTGGTTCTCAGCTGGTTTTGCTTTATGACCTGGATTTTAAATTTGGACATAAAAGTGGTGACCCAGGGTACATAATTGTTTATCATACAAGTATGTACTGAAAATCAAGTATTGCACAAAAAAATGACTTATGAAAAAATATGGATCATATATTTATACAGTGTATTACTATTCACATTTAGCATTTTTATGTATTTATTTTTACCCAGAGTGACCCATTTTTTTGGACCACAACTCACCAGTTGAAAACCACTGATATAGAGGTTTTAAAAATATAGAAATTTTATTTACCATTGCCTCAATCCTCTTGAAAGCTTCTACAGTAACGCTGGTGATGTGAGTGAGGAGAAAATAAGACAAATTTTGTCTGATTACAAAGAGGTATTTCCTACTTTTTAAAACATTTGCTCATTTTCTACTGCTGAATATATCCAAAATGTGATTTGCATTAACAAATTGTGTTTTTCTTGTTACACATTTACTTGTGTCAAGGAGAATGTGATTGGTTGGTACAGACAACGAAGAAACTCCAGACAGCAAATGACCTTCATGGAACAAGTGATTCATCGGAATATGAGAAAGATTCTGTCCAGTCAGGAACTTGTTTTTATGCTGCTCACACCATCTCAGGCAACAGCATCAGGCTCTACCCATCGCCTTGAGTTCTCTGCTTTCATTTGGCACAGCAAGTGAGATCTGAAGATTTTGCACTCAACTCTGGCACTCAAACATTCAGCAGATTTTTTTGAAGCTTAGAGAACAAATGTAACTAAATGTTTTTATTATCCCCATGCAGCCAGTACATCAACATCCCCATCTTGGTGAGCAACCTGGGAAACCTTGAACAGCAGGACTACTGGAGCATGTCAGGCACATGTCCATCTTTAGGAGAGAGTCAAGCTGTTAATCGACACAGGTACATTCAGAATATATGTTTTAATTGCAGTTAAAGGAATAGTTAACTCAGAAATGAAATTTAACTGAAAATGTAGATGTATTTGCTGAACATGTAGATGAGTTTGTTTCTTCATTGGAACAGATTTGGGGAAACTTAGCATCACATTACTTGCTTACCAATGGATCTTCTGCAGTGGATGGGTGCCGTCAGAATAGGAGTCCAAACAGCTGATAAAAAAAAAAAAACATCACAATAATACACACTCTAGACCAGGGCTGTCCAAACTCGGTCCTGGAGGGCCGGTGTCCTGCAGAGTTTAGCTCCAACCCTAATTAAACACACCTGAACCAGCTAA